ATCCGACGGACCCCCACGGTTGGGGAATTAGGGAGGTCTCCTCGGGCCCCCTGCCCGCGGCCGCCATGGCGGAGAATTGGAAGAACTGCTTTGAGGAGGAGCTCATCTGCCCCATCTGCCTGCACGTCTTCGTGGAACCGGTGCAGCTGCCGTGCAAACATAACTTCTGCCGGGGCTGCATCGGCGAGGCTTGGGCCAAGGACAGTGGCCTGGTGCGCTGCCCGGAATGCAACCAGGCCTACAATCAGAAGCCGGGCCTGGAGAAGAACCTGAAGCTCACCAACATCGTGGAGAAGTTCAACGCCCTGCACGTGGAGAAGCCGCCGACGGCCCTGCACTGCGTGTTCTGTCGCCGCGGCCCCCCGCTGCCGGCGCAGAAGGTCTGCCTGCGCTGCGAGGCGCCCTGCTGCCAGTCCCACGTGCAGACGCACCTGCAGCAGCCCTCCACCGCCCGCGGGCACCTCCTGGTGGAGGCGGACGACGTGCGGGCCTGGAGCTGCCCGCAGCACAACGCCTACCGCCTGTACCACTGCGAGGCCGAGCAGGTGGCCGTGTGCCAGTACTGCTGCTACTACAGCGGCGCGCATCAGGGACACTCGGTGTGCGACGTGGAGATCCGGAGGAATGAGATACGGGCAAGTACACTGAACGCGCGCGCACACGCACGCACACACACACACACACACACACACTCACATCCTGCCTAGGGGCCACCCATCACCATACATCCTGACTCTTGCGGCATTAGCCTAGAGGCCCTGGTTCCAAACTCTTTTCTGTGAAAGTTTGGGGGACAAGGTCCTGAGAAGAAGGGCCTGGCTGCTGGGTGCGTTCCCGCACCTGTGCCCTTAGGCTCCCTTTTGCAAGTCATTTATGGAATTGAGGGAGGCTGTTAGAAGTAGTTTGGATGTTGCTCTTCTGTTTTGCGCAGCTCCCTCCCCCAGCATTGTTTCTGTAAGCTCTACGGGAAGTCACCAAGGCAGTGACCCCGGTCCTGCTTCTCCAGCTGCTGTTTATGTAATGAGTGTCCTGGTGCCGCTGCTGTGGCTGACATGATCCATGATGCTGGCATACCAATGAGGAAGTAAACAAAAGCAGCCATGTTAGTTTTAAGCTCTATTGGAAACACATTGGGGGGGGGGCTTCCGGAGGTAGAGCAGAACTCTGGTATCTAGCTGGGCAAGGCCGGGCTGGCTGTTCAGGAGTCCCCAACTGTCAGCTCTTCAGATCGGTCCCAGCGGACGCTCCCCAGGCTGAGGCTGCTCTCTATGTACTTGTATGCTCCTGCGCCTGCATGAACAAACCTTAAAGTATGTGTCTAACCCTTTCCTCCCAGCCCTGCCCTCTTACACAGCCCTCCCACATTTGGGGAGGGGAGGTGGAAGACGGAAAAAGAATCCTGTGGGTTTAAGGTTGAGCCGCCTTGAAATCTGGTTTCAGGCAGCTGGCTCCCCTGGGCTGCCGGCTGGGTGATTACAGAGTAGCACCCCCTCCCATTGTATACACCCTGCTGCAGCAGCCAATGTCAAACCCGCCTTCCCCCTCTTAGGCCTCTGGGCCTGGCTAGGGAACTGGACTAGGGCATACTTCCGTCCCTTTCACTGGAAGGGGGCTCCTCCCAGGTTCCTCTCGGGTCCCCTGCCTCTTGGGATTGAGTCACACCGAAGGAAGGAGTTGATCTACGCGTCTGGGCCATCTTGAAAGCTCGGGATAGGGGTCTTGTGATAAGGGAGCAAGGTTAGGTTTGGTAGGACTGGGCGTGTATGTTTAGGGTGGGGGCCCCTGGAGACTAGTGGGGCCTCTGCGGTATGAGGAAGCCGGGCAGTCCAGATTGTAGATGGGGGCTATTTCCTTGGTGGTAGGGAGGGAGGGACATAGACGAGGAGGGGACCGATCTAAATGAGTCACTGTTTAGCAATTAAAAACCATACATATACAACCAACAAAAGGCAGAAGGGCCACCGCAGGCTGAGGGCGGGGATAACAAAATTTGCTGTATAATTAGTTTGCAATTGCATGGGCCAGCTCTGGGGTTTTGTGCCAGGAGAGGCCTCTGGTTTCTTAAAGGAAGTGTGGGGGATGGAGGAGAGGAGTCACTCCTCCCCACTAGTGCTGGAAAAGGCCAAGGCCTGGGGAAGCAGAGGAGCCCTGTGGTCCTCCTCCCCCGACTCAGGGCCGGCCTTGCCCACACTTTACCCAGTATTGAAGCTGCTGCTATTAATAAAGATGGTAGGGGTGGAGGCTGGGAAAGTAAGGACGGCTGGCTGTCCAGTTCTGTCTGGGATTGGCTGTAGAAAGTGGATAGAAGGCAAAGAAAAGGATGTGAGTGGAACAGGACAGGCTGCTGGATGGGCCATCTGCTTTCACCCCGAAAGTGCTAGGGGTGTCTTGGAAGGGAAGAAAACTTAATTATACCTGGCTTGGTATTAGGGCATCCTTAGATGTGTGTCTGCCTTTACTACTGGCAAATGGATATGTCTTGCTTGTAGGATTGGGGAGGAAAGGGTGGCGTTAGCTTGCAGGGTCTACTGTGGGGTTCCTTTCATCAGACACTGAACTTTGTCTGCAGCTCCATGATGTGCGTTATCTGTCTCTTGTGTGCTCTAGTGCCTATAGGGGCAGCTCAGAAGTAGTGAATTGCATTAGGGCCAGATGTGCGATTCTGTGAGGTCAGCATCTGCGCCCCAGGCTCATCCTCCTCCATCCTCCTTGTCCATTCTCTGGTGCCCCAGGGCACTAGGCTTGGAAACCCTTCAATAGCCCAGTGTCACTCAAGTATGAGTCTGACTTATTGAATGCAGAGGTAGGGGGTCCCGCCCTTAGGGAGGGGCTGAGTCCTGAGGAAGCTAAAAGGAAGAGCCCTGCCCTCTCTTTAGGCTATCCAGCAGGAGGGGGGTCTTTGCTTCAACCAGTTTTTTCTTGCTGGCAGTAGTCCTATTTAAGGGGCCTTTGCTAGTGCTGTGGGAAAGGGCACCTGGGTTTTCCAAGGTACAGGAGCAGAGGCACAAAGAACCATAAAATGATCTAGGTTCTGCTTGTTGTGTTTCCTCTCCTGCCCTCCCCCATGTGGTTAGGGTCCAGATCAGCTGGCTGGAAATGGTTAACATTGCTGAGGGTTTTGTGTGCCCAGAGTGAAGACCCACAACTTTAATCCAAGCACTGGGGAGACAGAGGCAGGAAGATCTCTCTGAGCTCAAAGCCAATCTGGTGTACTCAGAGAATTCCAGGCCAGCCAGCACTACACAGTGAGACTTTATCTCAAAAAACAGACAAACAAATCCAACACCAACAGCAGAAACCCGCCATCACAACTACTGCTTGACCCTTCCTGGTAGCCCCATCCCCAAATGTTCACAAGCACCTACTTTATGTACTTGAGCCAGTGGCTTGGGTGGGGCATCAGGGAGGGGTGGTACTTAAGAGTTAGGCCTGTGCAGGCCAGGACATTGCCCCACTCTGCCTTTGAGAGGACTCCATGCCAACCAGATGGGCCTCAAGATACTCTCTGGGACATATCTATAGCCTCAAAGTGTTTTCCCTTTGGGCTATGGACCCAGGGTTGAGACATCCAGGTGGGCACAGGCCTAGCAATTCTGAGCAGATATAATCCCTTCCAGCCTCTAAGTTTAGGGGTTCATCTGAGTAATAGGGGGCTGATGAGAGTTGGGAGCACTCTTAGGACCTCTCAGCATAGACAGAGCCCAAGGGAAGTCATGGGCGTGTGAGTGAGGGGCTTGCTTGAGCTGGTGTGGAAGTGTGCTTCTGTGTCATCCCTAGGACCCTGGAAACAGCCTGGAGCTCTTGGCCTGGACCCTCATCCAGAGGAGAGGTGCTCTCTGGGAAATGGAATCCCATGCTTGGAATGAGAGTGCAGGAGGGGAAACATGGGAACCCTGGAGGGAGTCCCCCTGGGAGAGGGAGGCCTGGAGGTCTCTGCTATGCTGGGGTTACAGCCCCATTCAGGCAATCAGACCCACTCTTCCCTCTGCCAATAGCAGACAGGGTTGGGAAGCTGTGTGTTTGTGTTGGGGTGTGTGGGGTGAGGGCTGTGTAGTGTCCTTTCCAAGATCATCATGAACCTTAGAGAAGAGGCCTGTTTTGGCCTTTTCCCTGGGTCCTAAGAGAAGCCTCGGGTAGAGGCCCAACCCCCCTGCCTCTACCCCAGGATCCTACTGACAGCCAGAAGCCTGCCATACACCCCGTATTGCAGTTCTGGACTCAGTGTGTGTCTGTGTCTGTCTGTCTGTCTATTGTAACTGTTTGGTTTTGTTTTATTTTTCCCACTGAGTATCTCCAAGAAAGGATGTGTTCATGGCTGACTTAATTAGGCATTACTTTCCTATGTGGCCTTGGAGTTGGGGACAGAAGTATGCTCGTGTGTTTATGTCTGTGAGAGTGGATACCAGGTGAGATGGGAGGGGTGCAGTGTGGGGTGTTTGTGAATTGCCGCTACTTTGCTGTTCAGACCGCCACTTACTAAGTGCTTGCTAAGGTAATAGGTGGGCTGGGAATCTGCCAGGGGCCTGATGACTTTCTTACCTGGGATCTCTGGGAAGGGATTTACTTTAGGGTAAGCTCTTGCCTGTGGTGGGTGTTGGAGGTAAGAGAGAGCCCCAGTGGGTGCTGCTGAGTTGAGGAGTGGGGAGAATCTGGGTGGGCAGCCCCACTTGGGCCTCTGCCCTGGGCTGAGCAAGTCAGCCTGGCCAGCCTCACCCCTGACTCTGGGAAAGCCTTCCTCCCTGGCCGGCCTGGCATTCAAACCCAGACAAAGGGGGGCTTTCTCTCTCGCCTCTTTGTTCTGCTGCCCCAGAGGCTGCTCTGTGCACAGCAAAAGCTAATTCGGCTCTGCAGCTGGGAAGCCCTCTCACGCTGATGGCCTGTTGGGATCGCTGAGGCTCCAGCCGTCTCTTTGCCCTGACTCCTGTGCCCAGCACCCCTTATCCCCGGTTTCCCCAGATGGAGTTTGCATGGTAGTCCAAAGCAGGCACTGTGGCAGGCAGGGCAGGGGGATTTTTTTGGGGGGGGGGAGGGGAGAGGAGGGTGCTTGTTCCCATGGAGCCAGATCAGGCTTGATCCTGGGATAGGGACTTAAGTGAGGAAGTAAGGACAGTCACAAAAGCTTTGGGAGAAATTCCCACAAGGCTCTAAGCAGAGTCCTGGAGCCAGTGCTGGCCTGACCTGAGCAAGATGTGTCCCAAGAGCCCAGCCCCTTCTCATCCCCCACCCTACTCACCACTGCCGTAGGGGCTGCTGGAGTCAACCTTGGCCTTGCCTGCAAACCTCGCGCCTGCCTCTGCCCTGGCCCTCAGCCCATTCTCCTCCGACCTTTCTTTTCTTCAAGGTTGACTTGAGGGTTTATTATTACTTATTAACTTTTACACAGCCCTTACTCTCCAAATCTCACCCGTCTGCCAGTTCTAGTCTGGCAGCAAAATACCAACAGGGCCTAGCTGGTCAGGCTCCAGAGGTACTTGAGACAGCAGGGCAGAAGATAGGCCCTGTGAATACCCCCTCTTGGTTGGGCACCAAGGCATAGAAGCAGGTCTGAGATGCATGGCACCCTGGAGCTGTGAAGGGCATGAGAATTCTTCATGGGCCCAGTAGATCCCAGAATGTCTGAGGCCCATGATTCTAGGGAGACTTATTCTGGGGACTTCCCCAAGAGTCTTTGCTCCCTCCATTGCTTCTAGACTAGACATGGTTCCCCTCCCACATGCTTGAAGTGGGTCACAGTCCAGGAAGCTTATGGTGGACCAGAGTCCGTTTAGAAAACCGCTGCTCCCCTGCTTTGGGAGGCCTTGCAGGGAATCAAGCCGGGAAATGGTGTCCAGCCTCAGCTGTGGGTTTTTCTCAAATGGGAGATATGATGACCTCAGAAGGCAGGTAGAAACTGGGCTAGATGTGGCTGGAGAGATGGCTCAGTTGTTAAGCACACAGACTGCTCTTCCAGAGGATCTGGGTTCAATTCCCAGCACCCACCTGGCAGCTCACAACTGTTTGTGACTCTAAGATCAGATATTCTCACATAGATGAATATGCAGGTCAAACACTAATGCACATAAAATAAAAAGAAATAAAAAAGAAAGAAACTGGGCTAGAGTGAGGCTGCAGATAGGTGCTGCTCTTGCATCCTCAGCTCCTGGTCCTCCAGCATCTTCCTGGGTTGGTTGTTTTTTTGTTTGTTTGTTTGTTTGTTTGTTTGAGACAGGTTTCACTGTGTAGCTCTGGCTTTCATGGAACCTACTCTATAGATGAGGCTGGCCTCAAACTTACAGAGACCACCCTGTCACTGCCTTTCAAGTGCTGGGGTTGAAGGTGTGCAGCACCATGCCCAGCCCATCTGACTTTTTGATTGGTGGAATTGGTGTGGGTATGGTGACGAGGCAGTGGGCGGGATTTTTCTCCTGCCAGTCTCAATGCTGGAAGTAGCACCTCTCCCTATCCCTTGGCTGCAGGGAAGCTGGGGGAAGGGGTTTCCCAGCTCTGCCTGCCCTGAGGCCTCACTGGTAAGCTTCCTTCCCCTTCCTGCCCTCTCTGAGGTGGTGGAGGGGAAATTAGACCCACCTACATGTTGGGGCTACTGTTTTCACTGGGTGGTGGCTGGACCAGACACCTCCTGCTAAGGATCCTAGAATTCTGAAGCTGAGGACAGGACACTAGCATCCCAGAATAGGGGTGCTTCCTGGAAACACCTAAGAGGCAAGGAGGCTTAGCCGCGCCAGGACTAGGCAGGAGTTGGAGGGTGGGGACAATCATAAACTGGGGGGGAGGGGGGCTCAGTTGAGATGGGAGAGGAACACTTACTGGCTGGTAGTGTAAGAATCCAGGGGATATGGTTGGTTGGGAACCTTTGGCTGTCTGTATCTGTCTCTTTCCCCCTGGGACTCAGCCTGGCCTCTCCCTAATCTGTCCATGACTCTGTTCGTCCATGACTGGTTAGATGTGTGCAGTGGTCAAGGGCCCAAGCGGTAAGATGGCCCTGACTTTGGTTTCTACCTGGAGTGCTTTGTTCCAGCGTGGGTCACACCTCTCTCTGCCCATACATTATAGGCCACCAATATGCTATTTGAGCCCCATTTGTTGTATAGGAGAGGAAGGAAGCCTCTGGTTCACAGTGAAGCTTTTGTTTTTAATGTGTGTGAGTGTTTTGCCTACCTGTATACAGGCATACTGTGTGTGCAGTACCTGAAGATGCCAGAAGGTGTTGGAAGCCCAGGAACCTGGGTTACATATGGTTGTGAGCCCCTGTTAGTGCTGAAAATCAAACCTGGGTCCTCTCTGCCCAGGCAACTCCTGACCCCTGAACCACCTCTTCAGTCCCCAGGAAATCCTTTTATTCGGGCCCCTTCCTTTGTCAGGGGTCTCCAAAGATCCAGCCTTACTTGTATAGGGCACTGGGTGCAAGCATGTGTACATGAAGGGGTCTCAGGGCCTAGATTGCTGTGTGTATGTGTGTGTGTGTACGCATGTGTGCACACGCTTCTGTGCTCAGGTGTATATCAGGGCAGTACTGTGGCCACTTCTGTTTCTGCCTACATATAAGCTATATTTATTGTCAGTCTAACCCCTTTGGCTGACAAGGGCAAGGTCTGCTGGGTCACTGACTGGGAAGACTGTACTAGGACAAACTCCAGGCTTTCTTAGCTTAGGAGAGCTTTACCCTCACCCCAGCCCTGGCCCTCAACATCTTGATTCTTTGTTTCTAGGCTGAGCTGAAGATACAGTTTAGTGGTAGAGCACTTGCCTAGCAGACATCCTGAGGAGGAGATATTCTTACTAGCAACATGTAACTGTTGTTAATCGCTGGTGTAACTGAAAACCTGAAGCTGTGCTCAGTTCTCTCTCTCTCTCTCTCTCTCTCTCTCTCTCTCTCTCTCTCTCTCTCTCACACACACACACACACACACCAGTGTCTTTCTGTGTAGCCCATGTTGGCTCTAGCTCTCAACCCTCCTGTCTCAGCTCCATGTGCTCGGACTGCAGGCAGAAACTGCTACCATATCTGGTTTGCTTTATTCTGTACTAAGTCCAGTATATAAAGTGGCCACTCTGCTAAAGAATCCAGCTCCTGAGTAGGGCAGGATGTGACAGCCCATCACATGACCAGGATAGGAAGGGACCTGCAGCAACTCAGAACAAACAGAACAAACATGGAAAGTTCTTCAGAAAGCAGACAATGGAGACAAGGTGGTGTTGGGTCCCAGAAAAAAACAGAAAGAACTGAAGTGTCCTGGTGAACACAGTCGTAGAGGCAAGATCCCTGAGATGCAAGGGTCACAGAACCTTCTAAAGGCACATGGAGATCCTGGCCCAGACTAAAATCTTACCTACCTTGTGCTTACCTTACACTTGAGAGGCTGGAAGTCATGTGTAAAAGATTGTTCTTGGCCATGCTGAAATATCTGAAAGTTGGCAGTCATCTTGAGCAAGAGAGACACCTTGTTTGAAAAGGTGTGTTTGGTGATAGAGAAAGGAAGGGCCATAGAAATAGGAAATTAGGAGCATTTGTCACTCTTGAAGAGGACCTACATTCAACTCCAGTGCCACATGGTGGTTTAAACCATCCATAATTTAATTTCCAGGGTCCAACCTGTGACATCTGCCAGCACCAGACACAGACCTGTGCACATAAATGTATGCAAGCGAAACACTCATACACAAAATAAATACAGTTGCTGACTTACATTTTTAAGGACAGAGCTTGGAAAAGCAGCTTGGTCTGGCAGCAGAATGTGCTTGGGAGCAGCAGGGTTACTCCCTCCTGGGCTCTGTGAGGGACATAGCTAGCAAGGACTTGACTCCTGAGGCCAGTGCTCCGCCTAGGGAACAAGAAAGGGGTGGCTGTGTTGCTGCACCAAAGAAAAAGGCAAATAAAAGGTGAGGCCAAGAGCCTGTGTCACCTTGGAAGGCTGTTTGACCCTCTGCACCTTTGGGTGCTCTACTCAAGATGGTACCCCAGGGGAGAGTAGCAAGTGTGTATGTGTACACAGGTGTCTGTGAAGGCCAGAGGAGTCAGATTCCCAAGTCACCTGTGAGCTGCCTGCCCTGGGTGCTGGGAACTATATTCTGGGTCTACTTCCAGAGCTGTAGGCATGCTAACTACAGATCTCTCTTCCAGTCCAGTCTCTCACACTGGATGGTGTGAGCTCTCTGGGCCCCAGTTTCTCTTCCTCTGTGAATGAGGATCATAACACAGTACTTACCGCCTTGTACTGGTGGGGTGATTAGATGAACCCCTTTCTAGATAGAATGAGATGATGGATGCATAGAAAGCAGGGGCTACAAGTGCTTCACGTGTGAGCTGGCAGAGCCTGCTGCCTGCCCTTAGAAAGCTCAGGGTTTGAATACACATGGGAAGCCTCTCCGTGTCTCTTTACTGAAAGTTGCTGGTCCTGGGTGCTGCGTGAGGGCCAGGGGAGGCTGGCTGGTAGAGGTTTTAGGTCATCTTGAGCCGAAGGACTTCTGGGAAGTCTTACCAAGAGGGAAGTATGGTCGCTGGCTGCTAAGGCTGGAGTAGCACCCCGTTCTGACCGCTGTTACTCTGTCTCTGCAGAAGATGCTGATGAAGCAACAGGAGCGGCTGGAGGAGCGAGAGCAGGACATTGAGGACCAGCTCTACAAGCTCGAGTCAGACAAGCGCCTGGTGGAGGTGGTAACCCTGAGCCCATGTTGGGGTGATGGGGTGCAGGGTCTTAGGTGAACTGAATAGGAGTTCCACAGAGCCCGGTGCTACTCACGGGGAATTGGCAGGTCACATGTTACCCTCAGAAGCCAGGGCCTCAGGGTCCCAGACTCCAGCATTGGAAATGGAGTTGGGATAGTGACATCAGCCAGAGGCCTCTCCGTGCTCACCTGCCTGCCCATCCTGGTCTTCTGCAGGAGAAAGTGAGCCAGCTGAAGGAAGAGGTGAGGCTGCAGTACGAAAAGCTTCACCAGCTGCTGGATGAGGACTTACGGCAAACGGTAGAGGTCCTGGACAAGGCGCAAGCCAAGTTCTGCAGCGAGAACGCGGCGCAGGCGCTGCACCTTGGGGAACGCATGCAGGAGGCCAAGAAGCTGCTGGGCTCCCTGCAGCTTCTCTTCGATAAGACAGAGGATGTCAGCTTCATGAAGGTGGGACTGGGGGCCACTCTGCACAGCTCTGTTCCCCAACTGCTTTCGTCCCAGTGTGCTCACCTGGCTTTGCCTTTGGAGCCAGTCTGCGTGGGCCAGAGTCTGTCCATCTGTTCTTCCTAGTTTTGGGACCTTGGGCAATTCATAGATGATCCCTGCGCCTTGATAAATACCAGTTCACCATCCTTTTTCTATTAGTCCAGATTTACAAAGTCTGGTACCTCATTTAACAGCAAATACCGGGTAGAACTGATGTGGGCAGTTAGTGGTCTTTCTGTGGTTCACATGGTAAAAAATATTCAAACAGGTTGCTGTAGAAGCATTGGTGGGTTGGACTGTGTTGTCCTGTTTGGATCATATGCAACGTATATATGATGTCATATGAACACCATTGCTTCCTTCTGAAATCCAGACATAGCCAGATTCCAAAAGCCCGTTGGACAAGGTGGTACACACCTTTAATCTCAGCACTCAGAAGGAAGAGACAGATGGCTCTCTGAGTTCCAGAGGAGCCTAGTCTACATAGTGAATTCTAGGACAACTAGGCCTATGTAACAGAGAGACCCTGTCTCAAAAAATGAAAAGGAGAGTGCCTATGGAACCCTCTCCCAGACATAATGGGCATAAAGAAGAAACAACAGTGCCTGACGGGAGTGTGGCTCAGATTGTACGGTATTTGCCTAGCACATGAGAAGCCTGGGGTTTGAGCCTCAGCACCATATGCTAGGCTCATTGCCACACTCCTGTAATTCTGCACTGGGAAGTGAAGGCAGGATAGTTCAAGGTCATCCCAATCCTTTGTTCTAGTCCAGCCTGGGACACCTGAGAGACCCTGTTTCAAACAACAGAAGCCATGCCGTGATGGCCACCTAGCAAGTGCTCCATGAATGGGGCTGTTCTGCCTTGCCTTTCCCACTGACTGACTGTGTTCTCCTTCCCTTGCAGAACACCAAGTCTGTGAAGATCCTAATGGACAGGTGCGTGGCAGCCCCCACCCCCACTCCTCCAGAGCACTCTGAGGGAGGGCACAGAGGGAGGGAGGGAGGGCGGGCTCAGTGGTGGTACCTCCTCACAGCAGCTGCCCCGTCCACTGCCCCCAGGACCCAGACCTGCACGGGCAGCAGCCTTTCTCCCCCTAAGATCGGCCACCTGAACTCCAAGCTCTTCCTGAACGAGGTGGCCAAGAAGGAGAAGCAGTTGCGGAAGATGCTAGAAGGTGAGGGTGAAGGCTCTGAGCAGGGGTAAATGTCAGTGCTATCTCCAAGAGGCGAGTAGCTTAACACAGGTAGACCTGTGTGCACATCCCTGCTTTACCACTTTTAGTGTGGGCCTTGGGCAAGTGACATTTCATTACCTCCTTGAGTGTCAATTGTTTGTTTTTGTTTTTTGTTTTGTTTTTTTCTCAGCTAGAAAATGAAAATAGTAGATGACAACCAAAATGCCATATATTTGGACCCATAGAGGTTCAAAGGCTGCATGGGAAAGGAAACGAGGGTTGTTTGGGCTGGGGCTTCAGCAACATTTACTCCCAATCTCCACAGGTTCCTTCAGCACACCGGTGCCCTTCCTACAGAGCGTCCCCCTGTACCCTTGTGGTGTGAACAGCTCTGGGGCAGAAAAGCGCAAGCACTCGACAGCCTTCCCAGAGGCCAGCTTTCTTGAGACGTCATCCGGCCCTGTGGGCAGCCAGTACGGGGCATCGGGCACAGCCAGCGGCGAGGGCCAGTCTGGGCAGCCCCTGGGGCCCTGCAGCTCCACCCAGCACTTGGTGGCCCTGCCAGGTGGTGCCCAACCAGTACACTCAAGTCCTGTGTTTCCCCCATCGCAGTATCCCAATGGCTCTGGCACCCAGCAGCCCATGCTTCCCCAGTATGGCGGCCGCAAGATTCTCGTCTGTTCCGTGGACAACTGTTACTGTTCTTCCGTGGCCAACCATGGTGGCCACCAGCCGTACCCCCGATCTGGCCACTTCCCTTGGACAGTGCCCTCGCAGGATTACTCACACCCTCTTCCACCCACACCCTCCGTCCCTCAGTCCCTTCCTGGCCTGGCAGTCAGAGACTGGCTCGACGCCTCCCAGCAGCCTGGCCACCAGGATTTCTACAGGGTGTATGGGCAGCCGTCCACCAAACACTATGTGACAAGCTAACGCCAAGCAGGCAGTGGACGCTGGGGACCCTCCCCCCAGCCCCGGTGGCTCGGGAGTTATGCATCCAGAGACCTGCCCTTCTTTCTACCCTCCTGTCTCCTCCTTCCTCCATTCCTCCAGGTCTTTTCCTTTTGGATTTTGTTTTATTTAGGGCCTTGTTTTGATTTTTTTTTTTTTTGGGCCTTTTTTTTTTTTTTTTTTTTTTTTTTTTTTATGCATCTCCTAGATGAGGAGGTGATAGTGGGAGCTGGCCTGGGTAGGGGCTGCAGGTGGCCCTGGAGTTGGGACAGTGTCTATCTCAAGGCACTGAGCTCTCTCTTTCTTTTCTTTCTTTCTTTTTTTAATCCCACTCCCTCCCCTTCACCTCCCATGGCTGGAAGAAGCCTTGGGTCGTCAACTCTCCTCCTCATTTCCCCTGGGAGATGGCCTGGTGCCCACTGGCCCCTTTCTCCTCCCTCCAGTTTTTCTTCTGGGCAGTTTGATCACTGATGGAGTAAAGATTGACCTATAGATTGTGGAGTTTTTCGTTTTGTTTTGTTTTTTAATTTTTTAAAACCAAGAATGATTTCTTCTGCCTCCTCCTCACCATCTTCCCAAACGGAGTTCAAGGCCACATCTCAAGCAGCTTTTGGCACCTTCAGCCTGAGTGGGAACCTTTCAAAGCCAGGAGCCCCAAGTCCAGGAAGGTCGAAAAAAAGAACTATGCCAATGATAGTGACCACAGCGAAAGCAAATAATAATAATATTAATAATAATAAAGAGAAATAAAAGAAATAATAAATAAAAACAATAGCACAGCCCTTGTTGAGGTCAGTGGAGAAGGGGCTGCCCAGATTTGGGTCCTTTCCTGGATTTTGACACAGCTACTTCCTATAGTGAGCACTTTGTATGAATTGTGGACTTCCTGTTCTCGAGACACAGGTATTTATTCTGTAATCTGCCTAGAGCGCACACACTGAAATCCAACCTTCTAATAAACATGATGGCGCAGCCCTGCCCTGGCCTTGCCTCTTAACCCGCTGGCACCCCCAGGCCGGGAATCTTTAGGCTTGGTATGAGCGGGGGCATCCAAGGCTGCTGCCTCAGCCCTTTCTTGATTCTGTTCTCCTGGGTCTAGACAATTTCAGACCTGTAAATATCACTTCCTCAGGCACCAAGTGCATCTGTTCTTCACCTTGGGTTCATTTGACAAATATTTGCTGAAAGCCTCCCATGCCACACAAACCCCTGGCGTCTCTGAGGTTCTGCCAGTGTACTTCTAGCTAAGATAGGTGAAGGAGAAACACCCTTGAGTCCTGCAAAGTTTACCTGCCTTCTAGCCACGAATATTGAGCATTTGCTATATGCCAAGCACTGTACAGGGCTGCAGGCTTAGAGACAAAACAGGCCCTGTTCCGGGGAGAGGGAACACTGGACTCCTTTGATGACTTGGGACTAAAGGGGTAATGTGATTTAAAAGGAGAGGCACCTAGATCTGAAAAACCCAAGAGTTTGCATTCCTAAATCTAGTGGTGATTACAGACCCCAGTGTTTGGGAAGGGCTCTTGGCTGCCCAGTATTTCCTTGAGGTCACACCAAAGTGTCCTGATCTTTGTTTTGGAGACTAACCAGCCTGAACTGGAGATTGCTTCCCCTAAGTTAAGTGCTGGGTTCTGGGATTGCTGGCTGGCCCTCTTAGGAAGTGTTCTCTGCTCATCTCCTTGCTTGCTTGCTTGCTTGCTTGCTTTTGGGAACAGGATCTTTATGTAGCCCTGGCTGGCCTGGACCTCACTCAGAGATCTGCCTGCCTCTGTCTCTGGAGTGCTGGCATTAAAGCATGCACTACCATGCCTTGCTCAGCTGCCTATTTTGCATGTATCCCTTAAAGTGAACTCAGTTTTTTTCCACACTAGTAAGAGGCAGACCTACTACCTACTACCCACACACCCACACCAGTCTGGGTAGGATCAGGGAGCCCCGTACAATGTGGGTAGGGAGCCTTAGAGTAGGCTCCTTGTGAACTATCCAGATTTTGCTGCCCCCTGTCCCCACCTCTCAGAAGAAAGAAGGCCCAAGTGGAACAAAGAATCAGGCCATTCCTAGCCTGGTGTGCTGTTTAAGAGAAAGGGAGCAGGAGTTAGAAGCTCAGCTCCTCATGGCTTCTCCCTCCCTTGGCTGGCTAGAAGCCAGAGCCGGGAGCCACTCAGGTTCCTGCACCTGTCTGGGACTGAAGGGCGGGGACAGATGTCTGAGACAGGAGGGTACTGGTGGGCAGATAGACACTTTGCGCACATCTGTTGGGTTTGTCGGGAGCCCTGGTGCACCCTGCATGCCAAGAGCTGGAAGCCAAGATACAAGCTGCCTGATGTCTTTCCCACTTGGCCCAGTTAGTTTGGACTAAATGAGAGGGGGCTTTCTCCAGGTGCATTAATCAGATTGAGACGGAGGGGACACCGCTGAGGATAAGTTAGACTGGAGCTCCACCCCCACCCCAACAATCAGCTACACAGCTGTAGGCCCAGAGCCTGTTTGGGCAGCCAGAGAAGCAGGGGGAAAAACTCCATCCAGCTGTCCCTAGCTACCCAGCTGTCCTAGCTTTGTAGGAGCAGCTGTCACCACCTCCCAGCAGAGTGAGGGACAGAGGGGGCCCAGAAAGGGTTAGGCACCCACCTCCCTCCAGTGCGCAGGCCTACTCAGGAAGGCAGGGAGGAACCTTTCCTAAGGTCACCTGGAGGGACAGGCAGAGTCCTCGAGTCCCCACAGGTGCACTGCCCCCTAGGCAAGCTCTTGTGACCCTAACCCTTCTCAGAGGGCACCTCGCCTCCCCTTTCCAGGAAGGGCTGAGAGGCGACAGACTCCCCCGCCCCACCCCTCCCCCCTGCCACCCCACAGGCCGGGGGCGGTGGCTCCTGTGGCCCAGATGTGCAGAGCCCGCGAGGAGGCCACCGGGAAGGGGGCTGGGGTGCGGGGAGATTCCTCGCCACCCTGTCCTGCCGAGGCTCTTTCATGTCACAATCCTCCTCCCCCGACCCAGCCAAAGCCGGCAGCTGGGCGGGCTCCCGCCCCCTCCTGCAGCCTCTCCCAGCTGTCTTTGGGGTGGGGCTGGGCAGCTGGAGAACAGCTGCAGGGCAGGGAGGGGGCTTGCAACTGCCGGAAGCATCTCTTCGCCTAGGAGGGATCTGGACTTGGGGGAGGGGGGTGACAGTCGGCTCCTCTGCCTCTGGTCCCGGAGCATTTGACCCCCAGACTCAAGATTTAAGGAAAAAAAAAAAAAAAAAAAAAAAAAAAAAAAAAACCTTTTTCACTTGGCACCTGGGGGTCCAGGGCACCCTGAGAAGGACTGTCCCTGATATGTCAGCATCTTTCCCACGGGAGACCCCGTCCTTCTAACTTCAACTTCTGAATTCCTCCCAAGCCAGTTCACACCTTCCCACTCAGAGTCCAGTCTTCAAACCGGATCTCATCACCTTCTCCGGGACTGAGGGTGGAGGGGTATTGGTTCCTAATTTAGGAGGGCACCTAGCCCCCCCGGGAGATCCCCTACCCGACCTCTGCACCCTGTAAATTCCAGGGGAGGAAAGCCAGCAAGGAGAGTGCCAACGGCACTAAAGGTCACCAGGAATATAGAGTGCAAGAAGGTGGAGTCAGTATACCTAGGGGCTCTTGAGTAGCCTGTCCTGGAGAGGGTGTCCCTGCGTGGGTTTGGAGAACTGTCCCCTGGAATGCTTTAGAAAGTTGCCTAGGGCCCAGTGCATGCCTTTAATCCCAGCATTTGGAAAGCATCTCTGTGAGTTCCAGGCCAGCCTGGTCTACAGAGTGAGTTCCAGGACACCCAGGGCTACACAGAGAAACCCTGTCTCAGAAAAAAGAGAAGAGAAAAAAGGAAGAGGAGGGCCACCAGGATAAGGAGGAGAGAGCCTAGAATCCTGACGCTGGGTCTAGAATCTTCTGAATTGCTTTTTCCCTTTCTTTCCTTTTCTGCCCTATTTTATTCTATTACCTATTTATTTGATTTTGAGTTTTGTTTTTTGTTTGTGTTTTTGTTTTTGTTTTTGGCTTTTTGGTTTTCGAGACAGGGTTTCTCTGTGGCTTTGAAGGCTGTCCTGGAACTAGCTCTTGTAGACCAAGCTGGTCTCAAACTCACAGATATCTGCCTGTCTCTGCCTCCCGAGTGCTCGGACTAAAGGTGTGTGCCACCACCCGGCTGATTTTGAGGTTTTTTTGAGACAGGATTTCTCTATGTAGCCCTGGCTGCCCAGAAATTCTCTGTAGATCAGGCTAACCTTGAATAATTCCAGAGATCCTCCTGTCTCTGCTTCCCTAGTGAGCCACCACACCCATCTTTTTTTTCTTTTCTTTTTTTTCCTTTTTTTTTTTTTTTTTTTTTTTGAGATAAAGTTTCTATTGCCCTGGCCTGGAAGTCACTACATAGACCAGATTAGTCTCAAGCTAGGGTCACAGGTGTCTTTTAACATGCCCAACCCTTTCTTTTTTGAGAGACAGGGTATCACTGTGTACAATCTAGGCTCTTCTCAAACTCTAATTCCTCTTGCCACAGCCTCCCAAATGCTGACAGGACAGTTATTCAAGACTTCACAGGGCTAGAACCTGGTTCCTTTGAAGAGGACCAGCTGGTGGGGCATGGTGGCATATGCCTTTAGTCCAGGTAGAGGCAGGAGGACTTCTGAGTTCAAGGCCAGTCTAGTCTACAGAGAGAGTTTCAGGGCAGCCAGGGCTGTTACACAGAGAAACCCTGTCTCCAACTGCCCCCCACCCCCTCTTCCCCCAAGCTATTATTCTAGAATTTTCTTTAGAGGTAAAAGGAAATGGGAAACAAATCAGGAAGTGGTGAAGGGGCAGTTAGGGTTGAAAGGTGAAAAGGGAGGAATAACACCAAACCAGAAAGGCCTGGCCCCAAGAACATTTGTTTCTTCCTCATGTTGTTCCCTTCCCTTCAAGCAGCACCCATAAACCTTTCTTCTCCTTCAGGGCAAGGTGTATTCTAGTAATCTCAGAAGTGCTCACCTTGGCAGACCAATGGCTGGCAGCCCCAAGACATCCCTTTCAAAGTGAAAGTAGAAATCCAGAGAGTAGGCCTGTGGCTATCGCCCTCCCTGGGTCAGGGAAGCCTTTGAGAATCCAAGGCTGCTTTCAGTCAGGCCGTGGACTCACCCAAGTTCTGTACTGAGGGTCTTCGCCTGTTTCCTCCACAGGAGACCAGTTTTCTTTAGTTGCTGAGTGCTTAATTTCTTTCAGCTGCAGCAAACGGGGATATTTACAGCTTCTCCTTGCATTAGATCTTTAGTAATTGGGTCCTTCTTGAAAGAGAACCCATCTGCTCTGTGCCCTGGGTTACTTTTCACTATTTACACTGAGGCAAGACAGGGGTTATGTGTTGGATGATGAGCCACTTACAGAATGGAAGTGGGGGTGACATAGACATCATCTCAAATTACAGGTCAGAATAGAATAGTGAGAACGGAGAGTTAAGAGTGGACTTCTGGTTTACCTGGGTGGGGGGTGGCAGAGAGTCATTGGATGCCTGGTTGTCAATTGGATGTCGGTATCAAATATTGTCCATATGTGTCACTGCTGCAGGGCATCAAACAGGAGTAGCATGAATGTAAACGCACAGCTTGTAGCCTAATGGGGATTCACCAGCTAACCCTCCCTGCGAGCTGTAGCTCCCTGGGTTCTACCCACTAAACTTAGGATCAGATCAGATCAGTCTTCCAACTGTCCACATGGTTCCGTGTCCCGGTGGCTTTGGACTTCAGGTCCTTCTGTGTAGCATCAAAGTTTCATTCCTCCGTGTAGCCTCACCAGCCCATTTATTTCCACAAGAGGGGGATGGAGGAGTAATGAGATGGTGCCTGTGAATTGCCAGAGCTGGTGCGGACCTAGCCAGCTTTCAAGCACTGGAAATAATCATAGGTTCGTGTTCCTTTGGGCTAGCCATGCATGTGGTTGTCTTCCTTGGTATTCTAATTGTGATTCACAGGGGTAAAATGGCTCA